TACTAACAGTTATACTAATTCCATGCGTAGAACGACTACTGCTACTACTAAGACTACTATTACTACCACTGCTACTGCTACTACTAATACTATGACTACGACTACCACTAATACTAATACTGCTACTACGACTATAAAACTACTACTACTACTACTACTACTGATTGCTCGTTGTTCTTCCTGCGTAAGGCGGGTGCAGCTTTTAATGTCCGCTTCAACTCCTAACCGTTGAGGCCTGAATCAGCTGCTAAACTCATGTGTTCGTTAATATATCCGGGTTACAATCCACATTTTCCGCATCGATGGAGCAAGTAACTTCAGACACACCACCAGGCATTTGTCTCTACGGATAGCTGAGCACTGCCATGCCTACTTGTAACATGGCAAGATTAAGAATATCAGTCGCCTTATCTTCAAACTATGCTTAATACTGTCTATTAAAATCGGACAGAATACACAATCAATCTGGTCTACACGGTATCGAAGCCCAGCATCATATTGTTTTAAAAAACGCCTGTTGGCCACGTCTGAAGCCATCGCAATCGAACTATTTCACCTGGAGTCGCGCAAACAAAGAACACTGTGAAAATTCTTACATGCTTTTGCCGTAATGAAATATCGTTTTCACTGCACACTGTGGCCATCAGTGACCATTGTCGATCGCTCGTTCGTGTGTGCTTGCTCGCGCGTCTCATGACGTCCATCACGTGATCGTATCGAATGAACGATTATAATTCTTGTAGCTCATTTGAATTGGGCAAATACAGATTTGCATAATCCTGGTCACTAATGCAGCTTTCCGTTCGCACTGCAATGATTATTCATTCGCTATTCGTTTTATTGCTGAATTTTCCCGAATTAAGTCAAAACGAACGACAAACAAGATTTTATCACGGAAAAACTGGGTTTGACTAGTCCCGTAGGCTAGTTGAGGTGAACAGTATAGAATGAAAAGGGTACATGAGTTATCTACCCAGCGAATACCGATTTAAATACGTTGTTAAATAACGTTAGTGCCAAATAACGACTGCAAGCGTACAGAAGAGCACGGAGTGCAGTGATTGTTGGCGTAAAGCGTGAGAAAAGTAAACTATGGTCGCTCAGTCATGAGCCGCCTCCTTGGGTCATTGGGACACATAGAACAGGTGGAAGGGCATGATTATGGTGACCCACAATAACGTATTTTAAGTAACCAACTGCCTGAAGCCATGCGCAACATTCAGTCGTTTTAATAAAAATGTCCAAATTAGAGGAGGCTACAGCGGAGTTGGAGAGATAGTTGCAGGGTTGGCAAACCCAGAATAAACAAGTAATTCCGTAAGTAGTTAAGTAGGCTCTATTGTTCACTCAGATTCAGCTAGTTACCTCTGAGCTTGACGTTGTGACTAAGTTTCAGTAAATAGCTGATTACCTGTTTGCGGTAAATCAATAATTGGTACACTGATAGCAAATCACCAAGCAGCCTTTAATAGCGCCCACTGAAAACTCCCAACAACATCAGTATTTGCTTGTACGAATGATTGCGTTGGTCCATTAGCTTACTTGCTCCCGGCGTTGTGGTGTGTTTAGCACCTTGAGGTGACGCTCTAATCATTGGCGCCAAGCTTGGATGGCGTATTCAATGTGAGGGCAAACGTAGGAATTGTGCATCGTTGTGAAGTTCGATGCGTCAAATCCCCTGAATGCCTTTCGTAGCAAGCCGACGTGCTAGTTGCCTCTGTTCGCAGCTACCGCAGACTCTTTTGAACAGTCAAGGTCATTTTAAACGAGCACGTCCAAGTCAATCCGCTGGGAGCTGTTCTGCAATCCTTTTACCCCAAGCGTAGAAATTTACTCATACATTTGGAGTAACTGAACAACGCAAAGTTTGTCTACATTGAATGGTGGGTTTTTTGAACTGCCTGGTTGGAAATCGCGTTAAGATCGCACTGCAGGCTTTGGTGGTCGTCCGGTCCCCTGATCGTTCATCCTCTCTTGACTTCATCTGCGAAAGATATGAAATCGGAAGTACCTGTCCTCGCTAGATGGCCTATAAATAAGAAGTATAGACGAAGGCCAAGCACCCAGCCTCATCTTAAACGGCACTCCATCACAGTTGCATCGGACGGAGATTCTCAGACTCTCACATCGTACCAAAGTTGGTGCAGAAAACTGTTTATCCAACTCAGGATTCGGTCGCCAATGCCGTGGTTCCGAAACTTGTGAAGATAAATTCGATGGTCTAAGCTAGGAGTCACCAAAGCTTTCTCACTACGGGCCGGATAGGCAACAAAATGATTATCGCGGTCCGGATTAAGTTTATAGACAGTATTTATAGTCAAAAACGTAAGCTTTGCTCAGAAACCGAATGATCAACTTCAGTATTCCATGTTCAACATCTGTGAGAAGTACATTATGTACAAGTAAGAGCGATCAATATATTGATTAACTAAAATTATCGACGGAGGAGGCGTATGCAAAGAGATAATTGCCTCAGCCGTTTTGTGCACGCATGCGGCTGACAAACTGTAAACCACAAAGGATTAATGGGATTTGTGTTTGGTTTTGAATGGCTTCGTTCAAGCAAGGGAATTGCTTCCCAATCTTTATCAGTCAGTCTGGTTCAACGAGTTGATTTCAAATGCCTCATTTTGAAAACGTTGCTGCAAATTTAATTTATTATCCGAACATAGATGCCATATCAGCAGCAAAATGCTTCAGTTCCGGAAATCCAGCATTAGGCGTGCAGAGGCAAAATCCAACAACTTTTCCATACCTGTGATACTGTTTCTAAAAGTCATTTGCCTGTAAACGAATTAGCACAAACTGTAGTTCAACTGGAACATCATTAGTTTGATAAACAAACCGATTCTGGAATAGAAGAATTTTACTCGCACCTGTCAAGATCTGAAAATCTGTATAAAATTGCCTCTCCTAGTCACGAATAATTACATTCGGATAGTCGAGATGTCTTCGGTAATCGTGACGCTAACTCATTGCAACAGCAAAATGAGCAAAGGTTTCTCCTTCCAGTTGTGATTCAAAGACAGCATTCTCAGAAATGCGTTGATGCGTTTGCAGAAAGCGCAGATAGCTTCCTCCTTTCCTTACAATTCCAAGCACAGTTCATTCATCTGGGACGTGATGTCAACCAGAAATAGCAACTTTGATAGCAAAGTAGGATCTGACAGCTGTGTGTCAGCTCTATCTTTTTCAGTAAAGAATGCAGGCATTTCGTTTGGAGGCTTGCAAAAGCGGAACAGCACTTTGCTCCAACTGAGCCGCCTCAATGATGCGTGTTTAGGCAAATAATAGGATTCAAAAACAATATCTTTCAGAAAAGACTGAAACAGACTGCGATTGATAGCATGTCCGCGAATGGTTAACGATCGACACTGACAGCTTCAGTAAACAAGAAATAAATAAATCTTCCCAAAAGAGTGCGCATTGATGTACAATGCAGTAAATGAACAGAGTGACCGGAATTTGCAGAACTTCTAGCTGGACCTGACACCCGTGTTTCTCGCTTCACCAATTGTGATACCCCGAAGGCAATACTGTGTGCGCATCCACAAAACATCCTACTCAATTTTCGTTCCATGCATGGTGCTGACCGATTCCAACACTGCTACTATCTAAAACTCCGCTTTGACACTGCAAATGAGCACGAGAATTTGTGACATACTCGAGAGCTCAGTAGACTCATCCAGTGCCAGAGTATACCGAAAAACGATTTTACATTTCTCGTGTATCTGCAGCCCTATGTTATGTCCATGTTTTTGTTTTCCGCATAGCTAACCTTGCAGTAAATCAGGTACTTGTAGACATGTCAACTTACCCAGGACGCAATTCATTCACACATTTCACTATACGCGAATTGATTAGGCCGCCAGCAATAAACGGTTTTCCGCCTTCTGCCATCTTTTCACCACTTTGTAACTAATGCAATTGAAAGCTACAATTTCAGAGTATTATCTCGTGAAGGGTATCCATTATGTTCCTAAATCACATTTCATGGACTAATATTTAGCTTAGCGTTGTTCCTTCGAAAACTTTAAGCAAACTGAATGGTATTTTGTTTCATAGTGAAGCATAATTTTGTGCGTTTCAAAACGGAAACACCTTCGCCGCACATTATGCAACTGGTATTCAGGTCCATAGTTTCCACAAAGAAATATTTGACTCCTAAGTCTTCGTTTGACACGTGACACTCAGTGCCTTTGTTCAGCTTATTAGTATCCTTCAGTAAGCAGTGCAGTAAACGGATGTTGGAAACGATAAAAGGTATTGAATTGGAAAGATTGTCAACATCCCACCATAACCTAAGCAAAACAATGAACTAAGAGTGTGTTGAAGCTGCGACTCATCAAACGTGCAGTCGAACTACATATCATACAGTTTACAGGTGTCTGTAATGAAATAAGATATTACATAAGGAGCGCTACAAAATATATGCATAGGGCCGGCCCAAATAAGCAGCTTGCAGCAGTGGCTTTTAACGGACCTTTTGCGGATGAAAACCAGAAGTGCAACAGAGACAGATCAAAATCGCCCTAATAAGGCCTTCTCAACCTTTTTTAGATGTGGTCCCCTATTCAATCTTTTCAGTTCGCATTGCTCCGCATCCTTGCGCACCCCAATCTCAGCAATGTGCAAACTCTAACAGATGTATATCTATGATTTCTAGTGGTCATATTGGTTACTTTTCTTTTGATGGATAGATATTATTGCTCTTCTCCTTATAAGCTTAATCCTTTTAACTTGCACAATCTCATGATAACATTTCTTGTACAACATCGTCAAGCCCCTTATGTTTACTTACACAAAAGTTGTCATTAACAAGTTAACTTTGTTTAGTTATTTGTGAGTTTTATCTGTAGGGCATGTGATGGACTAGAAAGTGTAGCAACTTCGTAGCAATATGTTGTTTGAGATGTTCATGTGAGCATTAAACCTCCGGTCCTTGAGCAAGCCTGCTTATGTCCGGTTCCAGACTTGTCAGTGAGATTTGAAGAGCTCTTCTTGCTGTGATGTCCAGTCTTTTCCTGCATTTTATAAGAGAAACCAACTATGTGAATGGACGAGTAAAGAAACATGTTTTGGCTATATGATAGTGCCACTAGTCCTTATCCGAAAATCTCCTTTATATGGTATGAATTTGGATCATGCTAGTGTGTAAATTTGAAGCTCTATGTGATCTTTCTGGATGATAATACCATCGCGGCGATGTAAATCAAATCAAGCTAAAATCCAAATCTGGATTTCCATGTCAAGCAAAACCATGAAAATTGTCTTTCATTACTTTTCGGTGTTTCAAATGATGGGTATAAACGATCAAATCAATCAACCAAGTCTTCATCCTTCATCTCCTTTATCTCCTATGGCGAGAATTTGGAACTGTGAAAATTCCCGACATCCAATGTTTTTAGCATGCGATTCCAGCTTTCTAAGAAAAGCGAGATGAGACTACTCAAGTTGCCCAGAAGTTTTATTTGACAAGTTGAGTTGTTCAGAAACCTCATCTAAATAAAATAAGTCTGGATTCGCTGTTGACAGTTCTCATAATCGTTTTCAGAAATAAATGTGGTTATAGCCTCTCAGAGTGCAACAAAGCGGTGAAGGTAATTGCTCTTGGCGAGCCATCTAAGTTCTGTATGCAAAAGTAGATCCCGAAAGTCTTCACTGTCCTCCTCGCACATCTGCTGGGAAAGACGATTTGGAATGGGGTGGGTTTTGGTATTGTTGAGCAATATTATAAAATTTTACAGTGCATCTTTTAAGCCCTCTCACAATTTCTCAGCTACTAGATGCTCTCGATGAATCGCACACGGAATTGTATGAAGAGAAGAAAGAACAATTTTTAGATGGACACTGGATCCTTCATATCTTCCGACAGCACCATCTGTTACCAATGCAACTTTGTTCTCTATTTGAATGGAACTTTTAATCAGCTAGGTATTGATTACTTCAAATACAGACTGGCCCTTTGCAGGAGTTTAATGCTTCTGGCAAACAGCATCCCTTCCACTAATTCATTATCATTAAAGAATCGGGAATATGCCACGAGAAGAGCTTAGTTGTCAGGCAAAGTTGCTTCATCTAATTGTAACGTAACTTTTCTGAACCGCAGTAAAGTAACTAAGAGATATCTATGTCAGCTATTCGCCTAGATACCACCGAATTGCTGAGCTGAATGGCTTGAAATGCTTCATATAAATTGATATTGTTCAACCTAGACAGAATTCTTGATACTAAAGTAAAAGTAATATTTCCTCGAACATTACGTGGCCATCGCAATGAGGCTGGATCTTACCGTGGTGCGATGGTTTTTGTGCCTCAGTGATCCATTGAGCTATACTGGGTGGTGCATTTTTTGCACCTTCATAGTCACTCATAACAGATTGGTCAATTGTTAAAGGCCAGAAAACTCAGCCTCCTGGTTCTCCAGGTTGGGGTTGGAGTGAGGGTGGCTCCTTATTCCTTAAGACGGATTCCTTGTAGCCCAATGCCAAACCCGCTGCCTTGCGGACAGGTCTTTGAACCAAAGACTTTGGTTGAGAACCCTAATCGTTCTGCTGTCTAGGCCTGGGCAACCTGACAGTATCCTGCCCGCTCACCTGCCCGCTCAGCACCGTCATTTCACGCACCAGGCTCCGATGGTTCGGCCACGTGTTACGCATGCCAGTCCACCGACTCCCACGACGTGCGTTGTTTGCGCGCCGGGGGTGTGGATGGAAGAAGAGGAGAGGTGGCCAAGCGATGACTTGGTCGAGAGGAATGAACGCCCTCACTTCTGAGCTGGCCTCGGCTGGAGCGTCTCGGCTAATTGGTTGGAGTCCGAAAGACGATGAACACGTTTGGTTGGACACACTTGCTGATATGGCTAGGAGCCGACTTCAGTGGCGTTCGTGCTGTGAGTTTCTTTATCCCACCCCACCCCCCTCCAACCACGACCTCATTATTTAGCCTTATATAATTTTTCATAGTAATGTTTTTGATGCACTTTAGCCTGCTGGTAGATTACCGGAACGATGCCCATCCGTTACCGGTAGCTCACCCGGCTTGCACCAGTTGCCTTCTATTTTTCGCCTCTTTTTCTGTGTATTGCGGCAGAGTAGCTGAGGTGTTCCTCACCTCTAGCTAACGTGTACGATGATGATGATGATGACGACGTGGCCTACAAATTTTGCTAATCAACTTACTGATTTTATACGATGTCGTAAAGTCATTCGCCATTCTTTTTCTCCGTCAGAAGCCAATGTCTCTAAAATTGGTCTGCTTTTGAAAGTCTTCCGCTGCATTTTGAAAAAAACACTGGCACCGCTTTCGTTTCGATAAACAATTTCCAAATAAGTTTTCAGTATACTTGGTCGCAAAGTTTCATATGAAGAAGTGTTTTGGCAAATAAAACTTTTAGATAGAGTGGAATTTGTGGTGATGCGATAAATCCGAATGACAGGTATCCCACGGATTACTGCCGACAATTCTTCTTTGACCAGGAACTCATTTCAGAAGAAAGCCATTGCAGTTTCTATATGTAATACATAAACATATATATAATACATATATATATATATACATTTATATACATATATATACTCCTTCGGCTATATTTTGATTATTTGGTTATACCCTGCGTATTCAATTAGGCCATTAGACAAAGCGAAACACGCAGATTGTATGTATGATCGTCGGCACTGAATTTATTTCAGATTGCTAACGCGTAGGGAAGATTTTTGTATAATTCAGAGTCTGCGCTCAGTCAACAAGCTTGGGCACGTCTGGAAAAGCCCCAAAAAGCGCTATTTCGACCTTATGGTTCTTGTCAATAGGGCGATTTCTGTGGCCCCTCTGCCGCGTTCCAACTCAGTGACTTCCGGATATTAGCAGCCAATGATTAGAAATTTAAAACCTGCCCGCGTACCTTTTAATAGTATGTCGTACACAGTCACTATGCATAAGGTCCTAGCTCGTGCGACTAACTGCTGTCCTCTGCACAGTTCGGAACTGGCATGCAACTTGAACTTGATCCGGGCTATGTCCTGGTCAAGTGCCAGTCATGCAGATCCGCGGCCGTCACCGATGGCTAAGTGGCACTAGCTGCTGGCATCCGGATGTCACAGGGTCGGAACCCGGCAGGGGTCGCAGGAAGGCGCACCAATGATACAATGCAGACTATTGAAATAACACTGTCCGTTGCTTTTCCAGATGCGTCAAACCTTGCTTATTGAGAGTGGGCTGTGAAGAATTACCTCTGAATTATTCTAGCTTGATCGTGAGATTATACGTCATTTGGTATACATACTTGTAACAGTTTATTGCTACAAGGTTAACATACAAAGGTGTTGCGACAATGTTAGAAGCAAGCCAAAAGCGGATTCCTAGGATTTTTGAAGATACCGTGGATACCTAATGTAGCTGAAGGAAACGTATTGCCAAAGCCGATGAAGAAGACAAAAAAATTAGAAAAGACATTGCTCACTTGACACACAAGCCTTACAGGAAGGTTATGGATAACCGGGCCAATAGGTTAAGTAAAGGACAGAAGAGACAAACACGGAAGAAAATGCAGCCTGTTTCAAGATAGCGGCACAACAGCGTCAAGAACGAACTCGATAACGTACATCGGTTATTGCCAAACATGGCGCCTAATGCGGGTTGGTATGGCATTTGCATTTTATGAGTATTAGGAGAAGTAACCTTATGTACGCATCGTGTTATATATACGCACTACAGAAATCAAATATCCCACGTATGCTGTGAGTTAGTAAGATTGCTCACCAATTCGAATATTTCGGCTGCACTGGATGTTAAGAAAGCGTTATAAGCATTCTAGCTGTTTCGACTCTTAGTCGGGACGAAGGAGCGTTCTTCAAACATAGTACCAAACGCGCACAGGTTAGCCACTCGAATTCGGAACTTTGCGGGTTGACGTGACTTAACCGCCAGACCTCCGCACGAGCTGAGACTGGAGACAAGGCACTCGTAACCTAGCGCTACCGCACTGTGACCCGAACTAAAGTCTTTCCGTTGAATTGTCACACAGTGGTAGTGTCATGAGGAAAACAATTTAATATCACTGTGGCCTTGTGTGGCAACTGCCGCAGTGTACTGACGAGGGTTTATTAGATTCATGTTAGATGCATCCAATGTTCTGAGTAAAACTTAGCTGGTTCGCTGTGAACAGGCATTAAAGTCCTGAGGACGAATCGGTTGTTAGCTGCACAATCTAGATCGCTTTATGGTGCTTGTTTGTTTGTCTTGAGCCAGGTAAACACTGTGCAAGTTTAGCAGAACTATCCCGTCTCCGCAACAGGAAGTCTGCCCGGTTTGGCTTTCACGTCTTCGTAAACGGCCACTTGCGCCTGCGTAATTCATTTCACTGACCGGTAGTTTCCTTAAAAAAATTAGTGCGCGGAGATAAATCATCCGAGAACTTATATAATAGATTTTCTTATTTTAGTTGGAACAACCCACTTTCACGACACGGCCACATATGAAACCCGAAAATATTTCCTCATCTAAGGCCCCCAGGGGGACAATATGGCTCCCGTTGAGAATGCTTGGCATAAATCCAACGCTTTCGCCAGTCTGGTTATCACGGGCACTCTGCACCCTTCCCCGTCTCCACAGTTAGCAGATTTGTGATCTGCCTTGAGATGCCGGTGGCATACTCTCCTTGTCTTTACGGAGTTGCACTTCTAGCGAACATCTGGGGCCCGGAAAATCTGTCGCGAAACCGTGACATACTAACCACCACACTTGGTGTTCGTGTAAGTTACTGCGCCATGACGAGACTTGTTTATATGTCGATTGAATCAATGATATGAACAGCCGCACAAAAGCCACGGCGCACTGCGCTGTGTCTGTGTGAACGAGACGACTGCATGGGTCACATGCAGACTAACATGCAAGCAGGCAAATGGGTTGTCGTCCAAGATAATAGGGTGCCAGACGCTACCTAGCTTACCGTGCGAAGTGCGACAGTCCCGGTGATTGGATTACAAGCTGAGTATCGCTCAAACTGTATCAACTGCTAAGCAAC